ACTTGTGAGCAGCCCTCCGTGCCCTGAGACGGAAGACACTGGATGTCTACCTGCGCCTCTCTTTGCTCCCTAACAGGAGGGTTAGCACAGCATCTGAATTTGCTGTGGGTATGTTGACCAGCTCTCCCTTTTCCTGGACAGAAACGCCTGGAAGAGGAGGGCAGACGGAAGATCGTCCGGGGGAAACGGCGAGCAGAGGCAGCCGTGCCTGAGAGAGCTGAGCCCACAGCAGTCTCTCCGCTGCTTCTACAGGTAGAGCATGGAGGCCATCAGCGGCTTTCTCCCGCATTAACAGCAGCAAATAACAACCAAGTGACGCCAGGGGGATCAACCTTCACCAGAACAGTCCCCTCCCACAGCCATCAAGGCAGGCCACTCAGGCTTTTTGCCAAATCCTCAGCTGGCACTTCTGCATGGTAATGCAGTATTTCCTAGCTGGCACTTATTCATGGTAATGCTGTATTTATTTCCCCACCTCTCTCACTTAAAAGTTACTCAGCACTTGGGAGGTGGTGGCAGAAAAATTATGAGTTTGAATATAGCCTGGGCAACATACTGTGTAGGTCAGGCTAACCTAAAATTTAAGGTTCCCCTGTCCTGTCCTTCCAAGTCCTGGGATTACAGGCACATACACCTAGAGAGAATTTCTCAATATTCCATCCTTCTAAGAAGTAACTACTATGATAAGACTAACTGCAAAGTTGTTCTTCAAAATAAAGTGCCCATGGGATAATCTGGTCTTAATACCTCTGGACTGACCTCTGCTGGCCAGACCATTAATCAGACATTTTTTTCCTTCTACTTGAGATAATGTGGTCAGAAAGGGGGGCATTTACACTTAATTATATGGATTTATGTGGTTCAGCTTAAAAATAGTAAGCCCTCCACATCATCATTTGGCTGTCAGGCAGGCACACGTGGGCAGGGGAGATGAAGGAAGTTCTGTGAGCTACCTAGGCTGGATGCTGTGTGTTTTCTCCTTTGCAGCTCAGGCTCTCTAGAAGAGTACGTAAGCAGGTTTGGATCAGGGGCCTGTGAGGAGCCATACAATGCTCACTGCAATGTCTCCTGGGTTCTATCTAAAGCTAGAAATTCCCCACTGTGAGGCAGTCTCTTGTGCTCCAACTTAGCCAATGCAGACAGATCTGGTATAAGGTATAAGCTAAATTTTGATATAAAGACTTGTGCTCTGATCGATAAAAATTGTAAAAATAACATCTATATCCATTTCTAATATTTTAATTCTATTTATTTGTTCATTTTTTAATTTGATGTGAGTGCCTGCATTTATCTGTGCATGTCTGGTTTCTGAGAGGCCCTAGAAGGACATTGGATCCCCTGGAACTGGAGTTACAAGCAGCTGTGCGCCTCCAAATGGATGCTGGAAACCAAACCTAGGACCTCTGCAAGAGCAGCAAGCAATGAGCCATCTCCCCAGCTCACAATTCTAATATTGTAAAATACAGTTGCTGAGTTTTTAAATGCTTACTTTTAGCTGGGGAGATAGCTCAGTGGTAGACTGTTTAGCACGTACAGAATCCTAGATTCAATTGTCAGCAAAAACACTTTAACATCTTCCAAGACACAAAAATGACATCAAAATACCTCTAGCACTAAGTTGTGTTAAAGCTGCTAAATATAATCAGGTGGTGGTAGTGTACACCTTTAATCCCAGCACTTGGGAGACAAAGGCAGGAAGATCTCTTCAGTTTGAGGCCAGTCTGGTCTATAGTGAATTCCAGGACAACCAAAGCTACACAGAGAAACCCTGTCTCAACCCCACCCCCCCCAAAAAAAGCCAAAACAAACAAAAAAGTCCATGAGACATGTGTTAAAGTCTTGAAATTCCAAGCGATATTGCTTGTCTTTTTCTCCTATTTTCATAAGCACAGGTTTGGGTGCATTTACTTATTTGACAGGATTCCTTACTTTAAAACAGATTATTGTGCATGTGGACATAATGCATATATGTGGGTATGTGTGCCACAGCTATTGGGTAGAGTTCAGAGGACAACTTTGTATAGTTGGGTCTGTCCTTCATGTATCTAGGTTCTAGAGATCAAATTTGGACATCAGGCTTGCAAGACAAGTGGTTTTATGATCTGAACCATTTGCCCAGTTTCTTTCTGCTTACTTATTAGTTATTGGCCGTGCCGAGGACTGGACTCAGCTTTGCATGTTCTAGAACATACTTGAGTCTCATCTCCAGACCTGTCTCTCTTGAGGCAGTTTCTCCACGTGGAGCTCAGGTTCACCTTGAGCTCTCACTGTAACCCAGGCTAGTGAGAGGAATTTTTAAGCTCCTTATAATCTTTTCTCTTTTTATTTAAATTAGAAACAAGCTTGCTTTACATGTCAATCCCAGTTCCCTCTCCCTCCCTTCCTCCCCAGCCCCCCACCGACCCTCTATTCTATCCCCTTTCTGCTCCTCAGGGAGGGTGAGACCTTCCATGGGGGATCTTCAAAAACTGTCTTATCATTTGGACCAGGGCCTAGGCCCTCCCCTGTGTGTCTAGGCTGAGAGAGTGTCCCTCTATGTGGAGTGGGCTCCCAAAATCCATTTGTGTACTAGGGATAAATACTGATCCACTACCAGAGGTCTCATAGATTGCTGAGGCCTCCAAACTGACACCAATGTTCAGGGGGTCTGGATCAGTCCTATGCTGTTTTCCCAGCTATCAGTCTGGGTTCCACGAGCTCCCCCTTGTTCAGGTCAGCTGTTTCTGTAGGTTTCTCCAGCCTGGTCTTGACACCTTTGCTCATCACTCCTCCCTCTCTGCAACTGGGTTCCAGGAGTTTAGTTCAGTGTTTAGCTGTGGGGAGTTTAGTTCGGTGTTTAGCTGTGGGTGTCTGCCTCTGCTTCCATCAGCTACTGGATGAAGGCTCCAGGATAGCATATAAGGTAGTCATCAATCTCATTATCAAAGAAGGGCATTCAAGGTAGCCTCTCCACTATTGCTTAAACTGTTAGTTGGGGTCAACCCTGTAGATCTCTGGACGTTTTCCTAGTGCCAGATTTCTCTTTAAACCTATAATAGCTCCCTCTATTATGGTATCTCTTTTCTTGCTCTCCTCTATTCTTCCCCTGACTCAATTTTCCTGTTCCCTCATGTCCTCCTCTCGTCTCCTCTTCTCCTCATCTCTTTCTCCTAACTCCCTCTCCCCTCCCCCATGCTCCCAATTTGCTCAGGAGATCTTGTCCCTTTCTCCTTCTCCGGGGGACCATGCATGTCTCTCTTAGGGTCCTTATTCCCTAGCTTCTCTGGCGGTGTGGATTGTAAGCTGGTAATCCTTTGCCCTATGTCTAAAATCCATATATGAGTGAGTGCATACCGTGTTTGTCTTTTTGTGATTGGGTTACCTCACTCAGGATGGTTTCCTCTAGTTTCATCCATTTGCCTGTGAATTTCAAGATTCCATTGTTTTTTTTTTCCCGCTCCAGTGTGTAAATGTACCACATTTTCTCCATCCATTCTTCAGTTGAGGGACATCTAGGTTGCTTTCAGGTTCTGACTATTACAAATAATGCTGCTATGAACATAGTGGAACAGACATCCTTGTTGTATGAATGTGCATCTTTTGGGTATATGCCTAAGAGTGGAATTGCTGAATCTTGTGGTAGACTGATTCCCATTTTCCTGAGGAATCTCCATACTGATTTCCAAAGGGGTGTCTGAGTTTGCATTCCCACCAGCAGTGGAGGAGTGTTCCCCTTTCTCCATATCCTCTCCAGCATAAACTGTAATTGGTGCTTTTGATTTTAGCCATTCTTACAGGAGTAAGATGGTATCTCAGAGTTGTTTTGATTTGTATTTCCCTGAAGGCTAAGGATGTTGAGTACTTTCTTATGTGTCTTTCAGCCATTTTAGATTCATCGTGTGGTCCATCAATGACCAAGATATCCTTAAACAGCACATAACTATATACATCATGGATAATTCTGTTGGTCTCTGTGCAGTGTGCATACACAAGTTAGTTAATCTATAATGGCTAGTTTGGAGATGGTGTGACTTCTCTGGATCATGAAGTTCTTTCCAGGACAAGCATTCAACTCATCAACTACAAGACAAGCTCCACTACAAATGAGACTAGAACCAAGTCATCAAAAGCAAAAGGAATCTAATACTCCAATTTTACTGAAAGTATCTCTGTATTACATTACTTTTGCAGCTTTCATTTCTTTCTCCAGAAAGTGTTGGGTTTTTTGTTTTGTTTCTGTTTTCAAGACAGGATTTCTCTGTGTAACAGCCCTGGTTGTTCTGGAACTCACTTTGTAGATCAGACTGGCCTTAAACTCACAGAGCTCCTCCTGAGTGCTGGAATTAAAGGCGTTCACCACCATTGCCTGGCCAGAAGGTGTTTTTAAAAGATAAAAGTTTTAACTTGGGAAATGGGTTTACATAAAAGGAAACCAATGTGTAACTTCGCAGTTAGACACTTACAATGCTATTATTTGGTTATTTGTGTGGAAATTAGTCAATTTCCTTATTTGACAAAATACCTGGGAAAATCAATTTAAAAGGAAGAAATATTTATCTAGTTTTTAAGCTTTATTTTACTTTTAATTATGTGTATATGTGTATCTGTGTGTGGGTGTGTGCATATGAGTGTAGGTGCTCACAGAAGCTGGTGTCCATGGAGTTTCAATTACAGATGGTTATGAGAACCCATCTCATCATGTATTCTGCAAGGGTAGCTTGTACTCTTAAGTGCTGAGTCGTCTCTCCAGCTCCTGGCTCAGTTGTGAAGGTTTCAGTTTGGCACTTGGCCCTTTTGTTTTTGGGCCTGGGGTCTATCATGATAGGGAACTCATGAGGGGGCTTGCTCATCTCAGGTATCTGGGAAATGGGCTTGGGGGGATGGGGGTGCACGTCCAGCAACGTCTCTACTCCAGGCCACTTCCTAAAGACTCCACCACCTCCAGCAGGGCCACCAGCTTGTGACCAAGCCTTTAGCATTGGCCTTCAGGATCATTCAATAAGACCCAAAGCCATAACAAATTATAGAAATCTTTTCTGTTTTTAATCAAATTCTTTACAATAAAACTTAATTTAAAACATTTTAAGATACAATTTTAGCAGTGTGGTAATTTTGCTAGAGAAAGTAAATTCTACCTTGCTGGAAAGAGAAAATTCCTCAAAACTATCAACTAGTTTATTCACATGTTAGAACGGGTGAGCCAGTGAAAATCCTAGAGAAAAAAAAAAGGACAACATTCAGTCAGAAGAAATAATTGCATTAGACTCACTGTAATTGCTTTAAAATCTAGAAGAACTATACAATTGTGGTAAAATCAGGTTTGTGTTTGGTCTAGTCAAAAGGAGCTAAAAATTAATTGGTCTTGTATAAAGCAGCCTAGGAAACTCATTTTTTTCTGATTCTTCTTCCACTAACAGTAATCAGGACACAGAAAACCAGAATTAGAAAGAAACAAAATTTACTCAGCAGAGAAGATGAGACCATGATCCCAAGTCTGAGAAGCACAAACAGGAGGAACTGCAGAGCGTTTTATAGGACTAACATTGTCCTCCCCACTTGGCTAACACACAGTTACCATAGAACAATGGTTCTCAACCTGGGGTCATGGCCCCTTCAGCAAACCCCTACTTCCAAAAATATTTACATTATGATACATAACAATAGCAAAATTACGGTTATGAAGTAGCAAAAAAATTTATGGTTGGGGTCACCACAACATGATGAACTGTATTAAAGGGTCGCAGCATTAGGAAGGTTGAGAACCACTGCCACAGAGACATTCTTCACAAAGTAGGAAACAGCCTGCATTGTGAATCAGTGGCAAGTGGTGATGGACAAACATTTATTTAAAAAAAGCTTGGAAATGAAAATGTGTCAGAATTCCACTGGAATGAAGGTAAAAAATGTTAAAGTATTTAATATAAGAATAATTCTATGACACCAACTGGCAAACTAAGCAATAGTGGAGAGGCTACCTTAAATGCCCTTCCCTGATAATGAGATTGATGACTACCTTATATGCCAATCTAGAACCTTCATCCAGTGGCTGATGGAAGCAGAGGCAGACACTCACAGCTAAACACTGAACTGAACTCCTGGAACCCAGTTGCAGAGAGGGAGGAGTGATGAGCAAAGGGGTCAAGACCGGGCTGGTGAAACCCACAGAGACAGCTGACCTGAACAAGGGGGAGCTCATGGACCCCAGACTGATGGCTGAGAGGCCAGCATGGGACTGATCCAGACCCCCTGAACGTGGGTGTCAGTGAGGAGGCCTAGGTAATCTATGATGTCTTGAGTAGCATATCAGTATTTATCCCTGGCATACAAATGGACTTTGGGTGCCCATCCCACATTGAGGGATGCTTTCAGCCTGGACACATGGGGGAGGGTCCAGGCCTTGCCCTGGATGAAATGACAGACTCTGGAGATTACCCATGGAAAGCCTCACCCTCCCTGGGGAGTAGAGTGGGAATTGGGCAGGGGGTCTTAGGGGTTGGTGGAGAGTGGGGGAGGAGGGGAAGGAGAGGGAGCTGGGATTGACATGTGAAAAAAGATTGTTTCTAATTTAAATTAAAAAAAAGATTAGAAAAATGAAGAAAAAGAATCCTACAGAATGACTAATGGGGGTGATAGTTTATACTTCTCCAGAAACACCCAAATGACATTCAGAGGAAAACTGTAGAACAGATTTGAAGGAGAGCCTTACAAGGATTGGAAAGACCCCAGCCAAGGCCACCTGCCCGCTCCCCGGCTTATCCTATGTGTGTTCATCTGCCTGACCAGTGGGCTCTGTTCCTGGTACCCTTTCTCTTGGCTTTAAGATAAATTCTGAAGTCTCTGATGTCTACCTTTACACAAACAGAATTTAAGCAGAACTTATATGCAACAGTTTTCAAATTAGTTGCTGTGTTTTATTGACTGCTCAGTATCTGCCCATGGGTGCCCATCTTGCTCAAAGAAGAGAGAGACTGACAGCAGATCTGTGTCTAGGAACCAAGGGAGGGTACTAGCCACTGAGTCACTACGCACAAGAGGCCACACAACCGACGCACCGAGTGCAGGTCACCTACACTGCTGATGCGTTTTCTTCTCTTTCCGCCCTCTGTCCTGGCCTGCTCCCCTCCACACAGAGCCCCGCCTCTCCATCTCCTCCTCGCTAACTCTTCAGATCTCAGCTTAAGCACTACTATAACTTAAGCTTTGCCTGTGACACCTATGCATTTCTTGGGTCCGGTCACATCCTTGCTCTGTCGAGTAGCACTGAGCTGTGAGGCACCCTACTGTCTGTCCACTTCCCCTGCTGATCTGTGAGCTCCTGTGGTGGGGACTGAGGCTGGCTTTGCTCACTTGTCACTCTAACAAGCACACGTAACAAAATCTCAAACTCAGAAACAAACTGAGGAGGAACTCTGGACAGCAGGGGGTGTGCCTTTCAGGGAGAGAATATTCGTTTCTTGCTTTCTGCCTAGCAACTGAACTTACCTGGGCCTTCCGTGTGCTCTGTGGTTCAATCATGATGTTGATAAGACAGGGTTTACTTGTGTCTTCCAGTGTCTGCCTCAGAGAGTTTTGGAGTTCTTCTGGTGTTTTTACAAAATACCCTTTGCCTCCAAATGCAGTCATGACCTGCTCATAATGTGAGTTTGGCAAGAGACACATTGGAGGGACACTGAAAAGCAATTGTAAACCCACAAAATTTAAACCTTTCAGCTTATAGAAAAGAGAAATTCTCAACATTATCTGTGAAAAATGTAAGCTGACCTACCCACAGGCATACTTTTCTTTCAGAACAGCTCTATGTAAGAAGTATGTAAAACAAATGTAGTTTACCCTGTCTTTCCCTTACTCCATCTCATATAAACAATAAATAAAAGTCCCGTGGCTGCAGGCTGTGATGTGTGTGGTCATGTAAATCTTCAGGGTGCTAACTGGCAAGGTCATGGGGCAGTCTGGCCCACGTCATGTGTCCCTTGATACAGCTGGCTGCTTAGCACTCAGAACCAGCAGAGGGCATGGTATGGAGGCAGCACCATCAGAGCTCAGACGCCGGCACATGACTTTCTGCTTAGTGTTGCTTGATCTGAGACAGGACCTTGCTGTGCAGCAGAGATTGGCCTGGAGCTCAGTGTATAGCTCAGGATGGCAAACTCAACTCTGGATCCTCTCGTCTCAGCCTCCCAAGCACTCATTAGTCTCCCCCATATTTTCAACTGAGTCTTTTTTTTTTTTGTATATGATGGAGTCCTGACATGTCTTAGACTCATCAGCTCAAATGATTCTCTGTTCCAATTTCCAGATAGAATAGGTGGACTACAAGTATATGTTGCTACACCTGGCTCTCTGTTAATTCTTACTGTTTATATGGCAACTTTCAGAAATGATAAGAATGTTTCATATATAATATGGCAGCCATACTGTATTTGGATTTTTTTAACTAGACTTTTTTAAAAGACTGACTGATAATTGATTGATTGATTTTAAGGCAGGGTTTCTCTGTGTAGCCCTGGTTGTCCCAGAACTCAGTTTGTTGAGCAGGCTGGCCTGAACTCAAACTCAGAGATCTGTTTGCCTTTGCCTCTCGAGTGCTGGGATTAAAGGTGCATGCCACTATGCCCAGCAACAAAAGATTTATTTTTATTTTATATGTATACGGGTGTTTTGCTGGCATGTAAGTCTGTGTACCAGAGGTGTGATGTGCCCAAGGAAGCCAGAAGAGGGCATCAGATTATCTGCAAGTAGTGCCATCAACTGACAAAGTTTTATGTAACTCAAGCTGGCCTAGACTTACTATGCAGCCAAGGACGGCCTTGAATTGCTGATCTTCTTGTATCTACATTCTGAATGATAGGTGTGCTCCAACACTCCCAAAGTAAGACATGATGGTGATCAAATTTAGAGCTTTGTGCTTAAGAAGCAAGTAATCTCCCAACCGAACCACACCCTCAGCCCAGAAACTAGACTTTTCACTTTACTTATTTTTAACTAAATTAAGTAGTAACTTGATTGGGGCTACTGCACCAGATAGTAGTTTACATTATCAACTAGAATGAAACCGAGAGGCGTGGCATGGTGGTTTGAATGAGAAGGGCCTCCATAGATGCCTATGCCTGGATGATAGATGCCTATGCCTGGATGATAGATGCCTATGCCTGGATGATAGATGCCTATGCCTGGATGATAGATGCCTATGCCTGGATGATAGATGCCTATGCCTGGATGATAGATGCCTATGCCTGGATGATAGATGCCTATGCCTGGATGATAGATGCCTATGCCTGGATGATAGATGCCTATGCCTGGATGATAGATGCCTATGCCTGGATGATAGATGCCTATGCCTGGATGCTTGGTCCCCACGGTGGAACTATCTGGGAAGAATTATGAAGTGAGGCCTTGTTGGAAGGTGTGCCACTGGGGACAGGCTTTGAGGTTTCAAAACACTATGCCATTCCCAGTGTGCTCTCTCTGCCTCTCTCACAGACTCTAGACTAACAGCTGGGGATCCTGCAAGGGACCGAAACAGGCCCTCTGACTGTGGGCGACAGTTGTGAAGGTTGGTCTGTTTGTGGATCCCTGGCGGTTGGACCAGGATCTATGCCTAGTGCATGAGCTGGCTTTTGGAAGCCCATTCCATACGGTGGGATCCTTGATATGGGGGGAGGGGTCTTTGTCCTGCCTCAACTGAATGTGCCAGGCTTTGCTGACTGCCCTTGGGGCCTTGGGGGCCTTACCCTGTCTGAGGAGTGGGTGGGGTGGGTTACAGGGCAGTGGGGGAAGGGGAGGAGGTGGAACTGTGGTTGGTATGTAAAACCAACTAAAGAACGAAAATATTAAAAATGTGAGCTCCACTGTTGCTCCAGTGCCATGCCTTCGCCCCATCATCATAACTGTGGCCCTCTAGGGCTGTCGTCCAGCTGAACTCTGCTTATATATAAGTTGCCTTGGTCATAGTGTTTATCACAACACTGAAAAGTAGTTAGTACAAATGGTTATGGAAAAACATTTCCTGGAACTCTTCTCTATCCTCAGCTTTCTCGGTGATTTTTATTTGTCAATCCCATGGCAGTTCTAACAGTCTTCGTTTGACTCTGCCATCAGATGACGAAGGGTTAGCCTTGCGGGAAAGAAAGGAAGGTCTGTAAATGACAAGTGACATGCCAGCTCCCGTGAAGGCTGACACCCAAGCAGCTGGGCATGTCTCGAGGGTGTTCTCGGAACTGGATCACTTGAGTGGGAAGACCCACCTCGGGGCCACACCTCCCCAGGGCAGTCCTCATGACAGGACGCGACAGAAGGAAAGCTGGTCTCGTCTGCTTGCCCTCACTCTGGATTAATACAGCATCAACAGTCCTCCCTGGTATAAATAACAGCACTGTTGCTGCCCTAGTGTAGACATCGCAGATTGTGATCTGAGTCCTCAGTGGCTCCCTGATGTAAACAATCATGGGTAGTTGTATAAAAAGGGACCATGAAGAGGAGGCTTCTGCCCTTTAAAAGGGCTGACAAACTAACCAGTTTATAGCATGTAGGCACATTCCAATCCAGCAAACTTCTAAAAGACAGACTAAATATCCAACAGAATGTAACTATGCATTGTTGTTACAGAATGTAACTATACTCACGCTGTAACAGCTTCTTGAAAATTTAACGTTTTTTCCCAAGTGTCTGCATCCAAACCTTGGTAGATTCCATTATTGTTTACAACCAAGAGTATGATTGGCAAGTTGTACCTAAAAGTAAAAGTAAACTATGAAGACATCATTCTTTCTAAAGCAATTTCTTTTCTTAAAACTGAAACTTTTACTTAAAATAGACATTTTAATAAGTTTTTTCAATATTAAGAAGGAAATTAGGCATTTCTTATCCTAATAAAAAACCTCAAGCCATGATAGAAGCATCGCAGCTGTAGGATGTATTCAAGACTAGGGGCTGGTAGTCTGCTTAGCTATGGACCTGAAATCACTAACCTTTTCCAGACAGTTACAAGGGAAACACCTTCTCCATTCCCTACCCTCCCAGGCCTATTTGTACACAGTTCCCAGGACACTGTCTGAAGAGTCTCATCCTGTTGCTGAGTGCCTCAATGACAGTCAGCTCACGCTGGACGCTGTGACAGACACAGCCACTAATCCCCAGTCTGCATCTCAATCACAGCAGCAAGGCATGATCAGTACAGAACACAAGCATCCAAATGTCTCAAGCAGTAGAGCAAAGATGGAAAGCATATATGTATGCATGTATGTATGTCATACACCCCCCCCCCCGGTGAGGGCTTGTGGTAACGACAAAACTAAATAACATGAATGCGCCAACTATTTGTTCTCCAAGCTAGAAGAGACTTATCACCCTCTAAAAGGCTAAATTCTCTTCATACATCATCTTTTTGGCATATGTCAAGTGGTTGACAATACAGACTTCTAACAGACGGTGCTTCCCCTAACACACGGGTTCATGTAGCCCAGGCTGGCCTTGACCTTGTTATGCGGCTGAGGATAACCTTGAACTCCAGATCCTTCTGCCTTCACTGCCATCTCTAACCCCAATGCTGGGATTACAGGAGTGCATTGCCAAGCCTGGTTTGACCTTGTTGGTTTTATATACGAAAGCTTTGAAAGTCCCAAAACACGTCTCACAAAAACCCTGCTAAGAGCACTATACAGAACAGTTTCATTATAACTTAAATACGCCTGGGGAAAGTGTTTGGGGGAGTCCTCATGCTGATAGAGTGGGGGTTTGTACAAGAAAGTTTGTAACTAGGAACCTCAAAACACTGCTGTGCCAGGACACCTGTTTGTGAAGCAAGTAAGAATTATAGATTCTCATATTTATGAGTGTAAGATGCTATGATTTATGCTGTCTTACCTGCAGATGGTTTCCACTTCCATGCCAGAAAATCCGAAAGCACTGTCTCCTTCCACACAGATGACCCGCTTCCCAGGACTTCTGTCTCTAGCCACTACAGCAGCTGCAATAGCAAACCCCAAACCAACGCCCATTGTTCCAAAGGTACCAGCATCCAGCCTGTTAGGAGCAAAGCCAAGATCAAACAGTCTTGCACAGGTCACACAGGGTAGAGAGGGCACGAACCTTTCAGTCTATATGGAAAAGCTTAATAGACATTTTTCTTTAATATAAACTTTTGGGAATATAAGGAAGGAATTTGTTAAGGATAGTGGCATGAAAGGAAAAAGTCACTCAAAATTGCTTAGATGAATGCAAATATAATCTTAGAACACTGAGAACAGAAATCATTACATTATACCAAGAATTATGAAGCATTAAAAGTATAAAACTATAAAATCTCACTTAAAAATATACTTGAGACAGGTGGTGGTGGTGGTGCACATCTTTAATCCCAGCACTTGGGAGGCAGAGGCAAGTGAATCTCTCTGAGTTTGAGGCCAGCCTGGTCTACAGAGTGAGTTTCAGGACAGCCAGGGTTACACAGAGAAACCCTGTCTCAAAAAAACAAAGCAAAACAAGAATACACTTATGTAGGGCTAGAGAGATGGCTCAGAGATTAGGAGCACTTGTTGTTTTTCCAGAAGACCTGAGTTTGATTCCTAGTATCCACATAGAGGCTTACAACTGCCTGTAACTTCAGTGCCAGAGGATCCGAAAACCCTCTTCTGGCCTCTGAGGACACCAGGCAGGCACATACATGTATGCAGGAAAACACACACATAAGATAAACTAAATAAATCTAAAGAAAATTTAAAAATACACTTATGAAATGTTCTTATACACTAGACACATACAGTTCTCAAATATTTTTCTTAATCGGCATTACTGTGGTTTCAAATGAAATTGCACTGTCATTTCTTTCTTAGAGTCTTACCTGTGACGAGGAAGGTAGTTCTGAAGCACAGTCCGGCCAATGTCCATAGTATTTGCTCCCTCGCTTACTATAAAACAGTCTCTGGGCAACTGCTCTTGAACATGGTAGAATACTGTGTAATAATTCATAGGGAGGGATTTTTTGGAAGCTAATTCCTAAAAATAGAGGTAAATATATACTAAATTATATTGGGACATGATGAAAACAACCAATGTCAATAAGCTATTACCAAAGTTATTTTGGAACAATTCAATACCACCAATAAGCTAGAAGATCCCCAAATAGCTGAACAGTGGCTACTGTTTGAACTGTGAACAACCCAGGACCAAGCTAAGAACAATGTCTATAGAGTACAAGTTTGGGACACAATGAATAAGCTGGGGAATTGCCCATGACCTGCTGGTAACCTAGAGATGGCTGAGCAGCACTGGGTCAAACCAACAGAACAATCTCGCCTGACACTCTTAGAAAAACACTGTATTAACTATTTTCAGAACAATTTTACCTGAAGTATGGTCCTAAATTTAAAACTAAAATGCTCTCTTTGGTCCCCAGCTCCCAGCCTCACCTGTCTACCCTGCTCTGCTGGAGGCTTCACCACGATCCAGGAAAGACCCCCACACCCTAGAGCAGACAGGAGCAAACCCCAAGGGGATCCTAGGGACAAGGTGCATTATTTACAGTAACAGAAAACAGAACTGAGACTGACTCTTGGCAGTAGAAATAGTCACCGATTAAGATTTTCCTGCATCGTGGAGTTAGCCACATCAGTTCTGCTATAATGTTTGGTGGAAATTACAAACTTACTCTATGATGACAGATTTCAAATTTGCAAATGTATCATTCTATCAGGAGGAAATCCTAGGTTGGGCTGGAGAGATAGTTCAGTGGTCAAGGGCACTTGTGGCAATACTCTGCTTATATCTAACAAGTAAAGTTTGCCTGAAGATCAGAGTGCAAAACCAGCCACAGTCATAGAGGCCAGGCAGTGGTGGTGCACAACTTTAAGCCCAGCACTCGGGAGATAGAGGCAGACGGATCTCTGTGAGTTCAAGGCCACACTGAGCTACACAAAATTGGCCAGTCTAAAAGAGAAACAGAGCTCACACAAAGATGATCTCAGCACTTGGGATTCCACACATTTAATCCCAGCACTAGAGAGGACTAAACAGCAGGAGGAGACAGCTCAGTGCAGTCTGAGGTTTGATGGAGACAGATGCAGTCTAGAGATGAGTCTGAGGTTCAGCGGATCGCCCTTTGGTCTGAGCATTGGCAGAGGTGAGAACTCTAGTGGCGGACACTTTGTTTCTCTGATCTTCAGCTTTAACCCCAATGTCTGTCTCTGCATTTTATTATTTGTGATACAGGCACTTGCTCTTACAGAGGACTCAGGATGGGCTCCCTGCACACATATGGTAGTTCACAACTATCCAAAATTTCAGTTCCACCTTACCTCCGAGGGCACTAGGCACCCATGGTACACATATATACATACTTACAAAAAATAAAATGAATTAACTTAAACAGAAGAAACCCTAGGTGTATACTGAACACTGCACCCAAGATACACATGAATACACAAAACAGTAAAAAGAAGAAAATCCAACATCTCATCTGACAGTCAAAGAGAAGTGCTTATTTACAATGATGCTAACAGAAAACACCAACACCGCCAAAGTAACTCACTGTAATACTGACTGGTAAGGATTAGTGGTGATTTCAAAACTCTCCAAACCTTCATTATGAGGCAAAGTCACAAGGGCAGACGTGAAAGCTGCAAGAGTTTCCAGCGGCGACAGAAAAGATAAGTGGCAGTGTGTGGGGGTAGATCATATACACGGATCAAACTTCCCACTTTACTGAAGGAACTAACTGTTTATTACACCCACATGCCTTGAAACTTTAGCGCAGATAACCATATCTAACATGCCCTAGGATGTAAGGTGACATTTCTGCATCAATTTTTCTATGCCCTAGGATTTAACTGTGATATTATCGACCAAAATCAAACTGAAAACTTTGCAAGGACAGACTGCTTTTTTCTATCACTTCACTGCAACTCAAGAACCATAACCCTCTGGATGCTCAATTATGCAAGGAGCTTGAGGCCTTTTTCAAGGTAAAGTACAAACATCCACATGGGCATACACATGTTTTTTTCTTAACTGTTTACATGGTTGAAACTTTAATATCTTTCTTTTTCCAACATTGGGTTTCTCTGTGTAGCTCTGGTTGTCCTGTAACTCACTCTGTAGACCAGGCTGGTCTTGAACTCACAGAGCTCCGTCTGCCTCTGCCTCCTGAGTGCTGGGATGGAAGGCGTGCCCAGCATGCCTGGCTTCACTACCAGTTTTCACGGGCTCTGATCTGACTTCTGGTTTGTGGCTCTCTTGAGAGCTGTGCCCAGCAGCACCCTTGCTGATCCCTAAGCATACACAATGCTGTGCTTCCTAAAACTGCCTAGGCCTCACTACGGGAGGACCAAGCGACTCCCCAACCTGCAGGGTCTTGAGTGCCAAGTGGCCCCACGTTACCTTGGAAACAGCTTCATTGCTCTTCATTTTCTCTCTCAGAGTCTCCCACCACCTGCTGTCTGTGGGGAACTGCCATGGGGTTTTGTCAAACTGTTCCAAAAGCTAAAAACAAGAAAACAAAACCAAAAAGCTTTTCTCTCCTGTGTAAAGTCACCTTTCCTAAAGAAGGACAGTCACTGCGCTCTTCTCTCCTGTGTAAAGTCACCTTCCTAAAGAAGGACAGTCACTGCTCTCTTCTCTCCTGTGTAAAGTCACCTTCCTAAAGAAGGACAGTCACTGCTCTCTTCTCTCCTGTGTAAAGTCACCTTTCCTAAAGAAGGACAGTCACTGCTCTCTTCTCTCCTGTGTAGAGTCACCTTCCTAAAGAAGGACAGTCACTGCTGTCTTCTCTCCTGTGTAGAGTCACCTTCCTAAAGAAGGACAGTCACTGCTCTCTTCTCTCCTGTGTAAAGTCACCTTCCTAAAGAAGGACAGTCACTGCTCTCTTCTCTCCTGTGTAGAGTTACCTTCCTAAAGAAGGACAGTCACTGCTCTCTTCTCTCCTGTGTAAAGTCACCTTCCTAAAGAAGGACAGTCACTGCTCTCTTCTCTCCTGTGTAAAGTCACCTTCCTAAAGAAGGACAGTCACTGCTCTCTTCTCTCCTGTGTAGAGTTACCTTCCTAAAGAAGGACAGTCACTGCTCTCTTCTCTCCTGTGTAAAGTCACCTTCCTAAAGAAGGACAGTCACTGCTCTCTTCTCTCCTGTGTAGAGTCACCTTCCTAAAGAAGGACAGTCACTGCTCTCTTCTCTCCTGTGTAGAGTCACCTTCCTAAAGAAGGACAGTCACTGCTCTCTTCTCTCCTGTGTAGAGTCACCTTCCTAAAGAAGGACAGTCACTGCTCTCTTCTCTCCTGTGTAAAGTCACCTTCCTAAAGAAGGACAGTCACTGCTCTCTTCTCTCCTGTGTAAAGTCACCTTCCTAAAGAAGGACAGTCACTGCTCTCTTCTCTCCTGTGTAAAGTCACCTTCCTAAAGAAGGACAGTCACTGCTCTCTTCTCTCCTGTGTAAAGTCACCTTCCTAAAGAAGGACAGTCACTGCTCTCTTCTCTCCTGTGTAAAGTCACCTTCCTAAAGAAGGACAGTCACTGCTCTCTTCTCTCCTGTGTAAAGTCACCTTCCTAAAGAAGGACAGTCACTGCTCTCTTCTCTCCTGTGTAAAGTCACCTTCCTAAAGAAGGACAGTCACTGCTCTCTTCTCTCCTGTGTAGAGTCACCTTCCTAAAGAAGGACAGTCACTGCTCTCTTCTCTCCTGTGTAAAGTCACCTTCCTAAAGAAGGACAGTCACTGCTCTCTTCTCTCCTGTGTAAAGTCACCTTCCTAAAGAAGGACAGTCACTGCTCTCTTCTCTCCTGTGTAAAGTCACCTTCCTAAAGAAGGACAGTCACTGCTCTCTTCTCTCCTGTGTAGAGTCACCTTCCTAAAGAAGGACAGTCACTGCTCTCTTCTCTCCTGTGTAAAGTCACCTTCCTAAAGAAGGACAGTCACTGCTCTCTTCTCTCCTGTGTAAAGTCACCTTCCTAAAGAAGGACAGTCACTGCTGTCTTCTCTCCTGTGTAAAGTCACCTTCCTAAAGAAGGACAGTCACTGCTGTCTTCTCTCCTGTGTAAAGTCACCTTCCTAAAGAAGGACAGTCACTGCTGTCTTCTCTCCTGTGTAGAGTCACCTTCCTAAAGAAGGACAGTCACTGCTCTGCTCTGCGCTTTGCCTGGCTCCCTCTTCTTTTCTCCTTCAGTGAGGGCGAGCAGCTGACGGGGGGGGATGGTGAGCAAGTGACACGACCAAGTGCTGAGAGTTACTGCACATGTGACAGGGACTGCATCTGCTCCTCAATGCTGAGCACTCAAGATAAGCAGCATCATACAAATCAAGTGACAAATGTGACCATTTTACCTCCTGCCACAATGATATCTAGAGATTACACATAAGTAGAAAGCCAGACAAGTCCCTGATTATAGCTTGAAGAGTAAAAATCATTTTAGTACCTAAAAAATATACTGTCAGGTTTTTCCATTATATAAGTCAAGTTTAACTAAAGCCATATTGTAATTTTTTCAGAAAGCAGGCAGGACTCTACTTACTGAATTCTGGTTTGAATGACCTTAAATTTTCATGATATTAAATTAGTGTTCTAAAATGCTTGGCTTCCACAAATTTCAACAATGTACAAGAAGCTGAATTTACTAAGTCCCAAAGTTAAAGTTAGTTTTCTATCATAAACTTAGTTTAAAACTGATGTCACTAGACATGCCACCAACTAAATCAAGAGAAATCCAGAGTTGACTGCCCGCAGAGACCAAAACTAAAACTCAGAGAAAGGCTTTACCTGTTTAGAAACAGCATTTATGTCTCCCAGCAAAGTCACAGAAGGTCTTACATTATTCCCCAATTCTTCTGCACAGATATCAATCTAAAAAAGAGAAAAACCTGAAGTACAAGCCATGTTTGGTCTTTTTTTGTTTTGAACAAACTTTAAAAATGATTTTTATCTTACAATCTATTTTCTGTGCATGAGTGTTTTGCCTGCATGTATGTCGGCATATCACATGTGTGCCTGGTAAGCAAAGAAGGCAGAAGAGAGCATTAAGTACTTTAGACAGGAGTAACAGATGGTTGTGAGCTGCCATGCAATGCTGAGAATTGAACCCTGGTCCTCTGGAAGAGCAGCAAGCTCTTAAAAACCTTTAAGAAAGGCTGTTGCAGCCAGTGGTGGTGAAGCCTTTAATCCTGCACTTGGGAGGCAGAGGCAGGTGGAGCTCTGAGTTCCAGGCCAGCCTGGTCTACAAAGTGAGTTCCAGGACAGCTGGGACTACACAGAGAAACCCTGTCTGGAAAAACAAAAACAAAAACAAAACAAAAGAAACAAACAAAAAAATTAGAAATAAAAAATACAGCCAAACAACAACAAAAACTTGAGAAGGGCTAGAGAGATGACTCAGAAGTTAAGATCCCTGGCTGCTCTTTGAGGACCTCAGCTGAGTCCCAGCACTCTCCGGGAGGCTCACAATCATCTGTTACCCTGTTGCATGGTATGTGGTGCCCTCTTGTGGCCTCAGCAGGTGCCAGGCACATACATGTAGTGTCACAGCACAGGTTAGGGTACTTCCCAGACATTCAGGTTGAAGGCAGTGAAAGCACTTAGAGATTTCCAAAGGCTGACAGAAGTTTGGCATCTAAGAGAAAAATTCACCTCCTCACAAGGCTGAGGGTGTGACTTCAGTCTACCACCCCCCTTAAGCCCCTCTTTTTCTGTCTTTAAATACACCCCAACTGTGAAGAGGTAAATTATGCTTTTCAAAGTGTTTCAAACGTAACCTTGAGAGCTTTTCTCATTAGAATTAGCACAAGACACTTTGTAGGTTTGGTACCTGTAATTAAGTTAGGTAATTTGTGAAATCTATTTCTGTGAGAGAAAGGGTTCTTCACAAAAGCCCAGGAGAACAAAGAAGCACAGAGCTGATCCGAGGCCCTCAGTACCTGAATAAACTTCACATCTGCCTGGTATCTTGGAGGCAGTCCAAAATGTAATATCCAGTTTAGTCTCGCACCAAATAACACAATCACATCAGCAAACTGCAAAGCCCTATATAAAAAGAAAGAAAAACACTTAACAAGAACAACAAACATACTGATGATTTTTGCTTGAACTGTTATAAAATATTTTTGAAGTCTAAATAATTTGCAGCTTCTAGAGTAAGTTAAAATAGTTTGGAAGACTGGGAGATGGCTCAGTGACAATGCTTGCTGCGCAGGCATCAGGACCTGAGTTTGGACCCTCAGTAAAGACTGACTGCTGTGGTGCAGTCCCCACCTGGACACTGGGGTGGGCCAGGTGGGGAGAGGCAGAAGCCAGGTGCCTCGTCAAACTGGCAAGCTTAAGGCTCAGTGAGAGACCCTGTCTCCCAGCTAAGGGGGAATGTGACTGAGAAGAAGCCTAAGGACGCTTTGGCATTCACACCTGCATGTGTGCACCTCCCCCAAGACATACCCCATCTCACACACACACAAGGACATAATATGCTGCTGTTTTGTTTTGTTTTGAAGATAGGATATTGGTTTGTTTTATTTTTTTAACAACTTGTGATCCTCTTCCCTCGGCCTCCAAATGCTGGGGTTACATGTATGCACTATTACATGTATGCACTATTACATGTATGCACTATTACATGTATGCACTATTACGCCTCGGTAGGTTTTGGTTTGTAGGTGTTTCTGGGGATGGAGCCAGGACCTCATGCATGCTAGAAAAGCACCCTGGGGAGCCACACCCAGTCTCCCAACCCCTGTACTTGTATCTCACTGCATACTTCACACTGATTTCTAGGAGTAGAGCACGTATTATAAACATCATTTGTATTCCAGAATCTCACTCTTTTTTCCCCAAGGCACGGTCTCATGTTGCCCAGGTTAGCCTCAAATTCTCTATGTAGGAGGATGACTTCAAACTTCTGATTTTCTTATATCTACCTCCTCAGGGATGGGATTAATGACATGTGCCACCATGCCCAATTTATGCAATGCAGGAGCTGCTAGGTAAGCACTCACCCAACTGAGCTCCATCCTCAGTATGGAAAAGCTTTCTAAAATATCCTATAAGCATTTTCACCTAGTGTCCAAATAACTGAGACCAACTTGTGTTTTCACAAATTTTGAGTAACTTGATCATCTAAATTTGGGTCTTTTGTTTTGTGTAGAATCCAACGATTCTACAGACAGTCCTGTAAGCATATTACTCTAGTATCAGAAGGCAGATATTAGGTAGTATGATTCTAATTGAAGAATTTCTACAAATATTGAAAAAATGGAAATTGGTTAAGATTCCAAACAACTGCCAGGCAGTGATGTGCACACGTTTAGTCCCAGCACTCAGGAGGCAGAGGCAGGAGGATCTCTGAGTTCGAGGTCAGGGCTACAAAGAGAAACCCTGTTTTGAAAAGCCAACAAAACAAAACAAACAAACACCTGGGATACCACGTACCTGGATCTGGCTGCGCTCACACAGTTTGGATGATCGTCAGGGACAACACCCTTCCCCATAGGTGTAGGCAAAAATGGCAAATTGCACTGTTCTACCAGTTTCTTGATACTGTCCTCTGCATGGGAATAAGCAGCACCTACAAGAAATGCAACTCACTGGATGATTCAGTTACACTTGGCACTGAGAACCTCTAACATATCACGTGAATTTGCTTTTAGATGACCCCAAATACTCTCTCTGCATAAGCATCAGCTTGAAAGGAAAACAAATAGTGGTGAGTATTCTGAAGGACTACCTCCTAACGAAAACTGTATCTTGTATCTCCTGCTGCTTTCACTTTCCTGCTTTATGCTTGGGGCCTACTAAACTACTACCCACAATTCCATGAACATAAGTGAGCAGAGAAGACCTTGGCACTGAAAAACTAAGGCTGTACTTTCTCTAATTGCTCTATATTACCTGTAAGCCTCCTCTGCAGTATACTGTGCAGGATGCGTGAGTTTCAAAAGCTCTGCAGATCTCTCTAGAATCTCTATAAGGCTGCACCTGTAACAGGATTACCTGAGTGAGCACATACCTGTTTTACAACTGTGTGCTACAGATAAAACATGTCCTCAATGACATTGAAAGCAACTTACTGTTTTGACAATGTAGGAATAATTTCACTTCTGAAGTCATCATGACCACTATTATTTTTCGTTATTTAATTTTATATTCTTTTGTTGTTGTTTTGGGTTTTTTGAGACAAGAGTTTCTCTATGTAACAGTCCTGGCTGTTCTGGAGCTTGCTTTGTAGACTAGGCTCAGAGATCTGCCTGCATCTATTTCTCGAGTGCTGGGATTAAAGGCGTGTGCCATCACTGCCCAGCTTTAATTTTATATTCTTTAGAGCTAATAGCATGCTGTCCATTTCTCTATGCAATCCTACTAAATAGTACAGTGTACATTCAGATTCAGTATCACACACAGCACTAAAAGGCCATCTTAGAATTGTTTACTATGCACATGCGATGAAAAATAGTCCCTTTTATTTCAGCCAGAAAGTTTCCTTACTCTTTTTCTTGTCTTGATGTCTTTGTATACTCAGTTCTTTCTTCCTGGACTTCCTTTGTTTCCCTTACATACTTGGGGAACTACTGCTTTTTCATGGTACAGCTGTGGGTATCATGTCTGGATTCTTTTTCCCAACGCCCATACAAAAAAAACTCCCTCTCTTGAGCATGAGGACTCAAGTCTGGATCTAGGCATAGTGGTCACACATCTGTAGCCCTAGCACTGGAGAGCCCAGACCCAAGGATGGTGGCACATATGTAATCCTAGCATGGGAAAAGTGCAGACTGGTGGATCCCAGGAATCACTGGCCAGATGCTCTAGCTGCATCGTGAATTCCGGGTTCAGTAAGAGACCCCACCTTTAATGGAAAGCTACAGAAGAAGAGACCTAGTATCAACTTTTGGTATCCACATGCAAGAAAATTACACACATATACCATATACAAGAATTGAAAAGAATTTAAAACTGAACTCCTTTTATCCTCTAAGGAGGCAGAGGCAGGTAGATCTCTGTGAGTTCAAGGCCAGCCTGGTCTACAGAGTAATTTCCAGACAGCTAGGGCTATGTAGAAAGGCACTGTCTCAAAAATAAAAGAAATAGTATTAATAAAAAGTTAAGAATATACTAGCTCAGATGGTGGTGTACACATTTAATCCTAACACTGAAGAGGCAGAGGCAGGTGGATCTCTGTGATTTCGAGGACAGTGTGGTCTACATAGTAAGTTCTAGGCCAGTCAGGAATATAGAGAGAGACCCTGTCTCAAACAAAACAAAATCAAACAAAACAGCAGCATACTGTACTTATTTGTTAGCAAGTGCATTCCCTTTGGATAGAAATTATTATTTCACTGTATCCTTCATGAATATTTCCTACAGCTGCTGCCTTATTGTAGGCACTAGTCAGTAAATGCTTTTCAAGGAAGAATGAAAACTAGAATTCACCTCGAATCTTTGCTATTAATTATATCCTATTTAGGCAGCTGCTATCCTTTGTAAGTCAGGTGATGAGACTCAAAGCAGTTACTTGCCAGTGAAAAACCAATGCATCATACAAAGCCTTGAACTCAGCACTGACCTCAAGATTTTTCCTTCTTTGCTTCTCTGCCTCTGGAACGAGAACCCAGGGCACAAGAGCAGACATTCTAGTACCGGGCTACACCCTCAGTACCACCACCTTCTTAAGACTATCTCCAGTTTCTCTACAGTTGGCTCCTAGAAGGTGATACTTGATGAGCATAGTCATAGGTAGTCCTATTGGTTCTAGAGCAGCAAGCAGATACAAGAATGTATTCCCAACCTTGCCTATAACCACCCTTTTTGGAGGTCAAGGCAGGACAATGGTGAGTTCAAAATCAGCCCAGGGTACATGGTAAGTTTGAGGCAAACCTGAGCTATGTAGGAAATCCTGTCTCAAAAAATAATACAAAATAAAAGAAAGAAGTAAAAACAATAATAATAAATTATTAACAGGAATATAAATTGTTTCTATGGCACCTAAGGAGTAAGCAATTTATCAACTGTCCCAAAAGTCTTCCAGATACCCCCACCTTTTAATTTAGTTAGTTCTTTTTGAAGCTCTACCATAAATCCTAACTATGGAAAAAACATTTGCATAAGAATGTTTATTACAGCTACTATAAACAAACATTTGACAGCAAGTGTCAATGTATATCATTCAATGTTAAAATTGTGTTTAAATAATTTTAAGAAAAATAGTTTAGCAAATATAAAACTGTCTATATAACATCATCACAGTATGTAAAATGGACATAAAAATAAATTGCTGAAGGCCAAATCTCTCCTTGGATGGAGAGATTTCTTTTTTCTAAAACTTTTCTAGATTTTCCAAAATATTTCTAATAGAAAAAATACATTTACTTCTAAGTCAAGAAATGAAACTATTCTTTGTAAAAGTGAGGTCTCTGGGTGACTGAGGATAAATTCTGTGATTTGAAAATGGATGAAAAGACCACTTATTCTGATTACAAACACTAGAGCACAAAAAAACAAACAATGAAGATAGTGTCTAAAGAGAGTCAACATTCCCACGGCCTGTGAGTTAGAGCTCTTGTGCTACCTTTCCCGACGATGAGCAGGGGCTGCTTGGCATTTCTAATAACAGATGCTGCCATACATACAGCCGGGGTGTCAGCCATGCTAACTGGAGGTGGCAGGCAGCACTCTTTGTACCTGGAAAGAAAAATGATGCTAAAATTAAGAGAGGCTAGGGGCTAGGAGACTGCTCAACAAGCAAAGGCACTTACTACTAAGTCTGATGACCTGAGGACCCAAGTTCAATCCCTGGACTGGTGGAGGAAGACAGCCGACTCCAGCAAATTGTCCTGTGACCACTAAAGCATGTCGTGTGCACACCTCTAATCCCAGCACTCAGGAGGCAGAGGCAGGTGGTTCTCTGTGAGCCTGGGGCCAGCCTGGTCTACAGAGTGAGTTTCAGGACAGCCAGAGCTTTAAAAAAATATTTGGGGGGCTGGAGAGATGGCTCAGAGGTAAGAGCACTGGCTGCTCTTCCAGAGGTCCTGAGTTCAATTCCCAGCAACCACTTGGTGGCTCACAACCATCTATAATGAGATCTGCAAGCATACATACAGACAAAACACTCATATAGATAAACTATATAAACAAATATTTAAAAACAAAGAGGCAACTTTAAAAATTTCTGTGAAAATTTCAAATTTTACATAAAAAGGTATAATACATATACTTGGCCAGGCATGGTGATACACACTTTTAATTCCAGCACTCAGGACGCAGAGGAAGGCACATCTCTATGAGTTTGAGGCCAGCCTGTTCAACACAGGTGTAGTTCCAGGTCAGTCTGGGATACATAGACCCTACCTAGAAAAATACTCCGAAAACTCAATATGACAATTCAATGAGACTATCACTTTACCATATTTGCATAACTCATACACACAGAGTACCCACCACACTCCCTTGAATCTTTTTAAATTCACTGCAGGAATCAGACCTTTAAAAAGCTTGCAAACACAGCTCTCTAAAAGATGAGGATTTTCTTTTATACAACTATAAAATTCTCATCACATCTAGAAAATCAGAAGTACTCTTTAAAATTATCTAATAGCCAGTCAAATGGTTAATTCATTGACAGAAAATCTGGACCAATAGCATCACAGCAGGAACAGTAAAATGGAAAACAGTAGTAGCTAAAATAGAAAGACTATTACAAACCAGTATGCAATACTATATCCCATTAATTCTCATTTGATGTTCAAAACAACAAGGTAAGGTATTACTGTGAGCTCATTTGCCAGGTTCCAGATGGCAGATGGCAGAGATGCACTGTAGCAGGAGCCTGCTGCCAAAGTCCCTGCTGTTGTCACCTCGACATTCCGTATTCACTCACTAGTAAACTAAGATCATACCAGGTCTTACTACAAGAACTATTACAACCATCATAGTTAAATATTTCTGTATAACAAGTCCTCGCTGTTACATGGCATTTATTCTCACATTTAAAAATTGGGATCTATATTATCCAAATATCTGGACACAAAATAAAAGAGGGGCATTAACCTGAACACAATTGAAAGGAAGGCTGCAGATTTTTAAATCTCCCTAAGGCTCACTATGCTTCATCCCTCAATATTATCCTGTCTGTCATATTCATACACATACACAATAGATGCCCTCATGTCTGTCTCTCACAGACAGAAACTACCCACTACACTGAATACACTGACTACTGTCTGTAGTCACTACATAGCCATTTCCATAATAGCAAAGGCCACAAAACTTGGCATTTAAGAAATAACTTTAAAACAATGAGACATGGTGGGCGGTGGTGGCACACGCCTATAATCCCAGCCCTTGGGAGGTAGAGGCAGGCGGATCTCTGAGTTTGAGGTCATCCTGGTCTACACAGTGAGTTCCAGTCAAGGCTTTGCAGTAAGATGCTGTCTCAACACACACACACACACACACACACACACACACACACACACACACACAACAATGAAGCATGTTATGATGTTCAATAAGAAAACTACAGCAGAAATGCAACATATATGCACAACAGTAAACCCAGTACTTGGGAAGTGCAGGCAAAAGGATTGAGTTTGAAACCAGCTTGGACTATACAATGAAATTCAGTCTTCAAAATCTCTAAATATAAAATTCAACATGTTGACTCAGTATGCATGATAAAAAGGAACGGTACTAAATGTTTAAAATGGATTTCTTAGAGGAAAGGCTTAGAGAAAAGGCTGGAGGAAGACTCAGTGGTCAAGAGTACTTGCTGCTCTTCCTGGACCTCATGAGTGTTCCCAGTACTCACAGCAGGTAGCTTATAATTGCCTGTAACTTCAGCTTCAGGGGATGTGATACCTTCTTCTGTCCTCCACAGACACCCCTACACGTGTGGCGCGCGCGCGCGCGCACACACACACACGTATAAATAAATCTTTTTTTTAAAAAGACTTGTTTATACATTTCTGGATTTTCTTAAAATGTTGTTAATAGAAAAAGCATATTTTGTTCCTAAAACTAAAGCAATACCACTTAGGGACTGGATGGACTACAGCAGCATCTGTATCAAGGTGAAAGACAATCAAGTGTGACTTTTCTGTACTTCTTTTCACTCAGTGCTTACTGAAGAAATAAAGTGCAGGACAAATCACAGACACACACTTCAGAACATGTTAAAGCTACATGGGTGCTAGAAAAAACACTTTTTATTCTGAGTCCTAGTAAGTTTTCACCCATCATCCACCTTGGCTTTTGGCTTACAGTAAGATGCTTGTAATAACATATACACTAAGGCAGACACGTATCTGAGGTTACTGGGTGAATAACTTTGAATGAGGAATCACGAAGTTCCAAGTATTTGATTTAGTAATTAAGCCCACAGACAGTTATTAAGTAATCTAAATGAAGAGAACTAAGTCTTCTGGCTAGGATTCAGCTTAATTACAAAATCATCAAAAAATATTGAGACACTTAGAAATTGACACACTGCTAGATAAACTCTTCACAAAGACTAAGTATGATAACACAATGTTAAGGAAGAATTTTGAATAAATCTTACTTTATAGAATTCACATTCCCCTGGAGGGTCACGAAATCTGCAGGAACGTCAATGTAACAAGCGCCTGGACGACCATAGATACTGCTCCTCACTGCCTGTGTTATGACAAACAAGATGCCTCAATTGCCATACTCTTCTCAAAGGCAGTCTAAAAATGTGAAATGAACACTAAGTTTTCTTGAGGTATTCTTAGTTGGATGAAAAAGTCATAATTAAAATTGAAATGTCCTCCATTAACTATATTTTGAAAGATGTGTTCATCTAAAGGGGATGCAGAGTTCCTGTAGGGCTCTGAAATTCATATTCTATTACACTTGAAGAATTTCCACTAGGCTCTGCTTGCTGTTTATGTTGGAACATGAACTTTCACCCACTTCTTAACCTTAATCATTTGGCAGTTTTCAGAAACTGTGACAATGTATTATGTGTCAAATTTTGATTCTGAAATGTGTGGTTTTGAAATAGCTCAAATATGGAGCTGGAGAGATGGCTCAGCGGTTAAGAGCACTGACTGTTCTTCCAGAGGTCCTGAGTTCAATTCCCAGCAACCATATGGTGGATCACAACCACCTTGAATGAGATCTGGTACTCTCTGCTGGCCTATAGGCAGAAAGCTGTATACACAATAAATAAATAAAATTAAAAAAAGAAATAGCTCAAATATAATTTCACATAAAACTCTTGTTAGCTAACATTAATTTACAAGCACTATTTAATTAACTAAACGAGAATCTTATATGCATTCTTCCCAATATTTCTGCAAATGCTTAAGAGATCAGAACCCAAGGGCTTATTATACACTTTGGTTTAACTAAAAAGATAATTTAAGAACTAACATACAGGAGAAACTTTTTCCAAAAATAGCTGACTTTATCTCTATTTCAATAATTAAATATAACGGCAGTGAACATTAGAATGTAAATAGCTCTTTAACAATGTCATTGTTAACAGTCTGGGTATATTGCCATTGTTTTAAGAACAAAAACAGCAGTGCTGAAGGCGTAGCTCTTTAGAGGAGCGCGTGTTTGGCATATATGAGATGCTGGGTCCAATCCCTGAAGAGCTTTTCAGTAAATACTGTACCTTTTCAATAACAACAGGAATATGTTCTATGCTTGTTGGTCGGGCAGAGAACTTGCTATATAATCTGCAAGCTTCAACCTATACAGAAAATGAAGATCATTTCAACTCAGCTCACAATCATATTGCTTTCATAAAGGAAGACAAAACATTAAAGTCATTACTTCTTATTACATTTAGAGGCAAGACAGAAAAATGTGGGTTTTATTTTTATTTGTTTTTTGAGATTACCTCAAAAAATATTCAAACCAGAAAATCCTTCCTCAGGATGATTCTGGAAACAAAACAACACATTATTTTCCTTTCTCAGGTTGTCAAAGCTGAAGATAATATACACCATGCACCATGTACCACAACACAGGCAAACTAGAGTTTAAACAGAAGGGAAGCTGGCCAGGCCTACTAAAGCAGGTGCTCAGTGAGGACTATGTGAATTCACCCGTCCATCTTTCTTTGTCTGCCATCTCTGCTGCGCTTCCTTTCACATATCTGTTGTGGTAACATGGGAGTTGGGGTGCTACCTCTACATTGTCTAACCTACTTGAAGAAACATGGAGAAACTTCCTCTTGATACTTTTCAGTATGAAATCTATGGAAAAGATGACAGCCTTAGTCACACAGGCCTGACAGGCCGAAGATCAGCCTTCAGTTTTCAGATTCTTATGGTCATGTCCTTCAGTTTTAAGAACTTCCAAGAAGAAAAAGATATTTGAATTTTAAATCAAAGTGTGCTTTAATTTTTAATCTAATAAACTTATTACTTTTAGGAAAATATACTTTAATCATTGACATTAATGCTGTGCTCCCTGCTTCATATCAATATTTTTGAAGTAACTTTAAAAACTTACACTTTTATTTCCTCTCTGTGTGTGGTGGTTGAATGACAGTGGCCCCCATAGGCCCACAGGGACTGGCACTGTGTATTAGGATGTGTGGCCCTGTTGGAGGAAGTGTGTCACTGAGATTAGGCTTTGAGGTTTCAAGCACTCAAGCCAGGCCAGTGTCGCTCTGCGCTCCGACTGTCTGAGACCCGGATGTAGAGCTCTCAGCTCCTTCTCCAGCACCCCGTCTGCCCGTACACTACCATGCTTCCTGCCGTGAAGGTAATGAACTCTGACCTGTAAGCCAGCCCCAATTAAAAGTCTTGCTTTATTAGAGCTGCTGTGGTCACGATGTCTCTTCACAGCAATAGACACCCACATAAGACACTGTGTGGAGTGTGGTGGTGATAAGACAACTTGTAGAGCGGAGTCTCCTACCATGTGCTTCTGAGGATGAAATCAGGCCGTCAGGCTTGATGGCAAGTACCCTTACCCACTGGGCTATCTTGCCAGTCCTAAATTTTCTTTTTCTTCTTGTTTTGTTCTGAGATAGGGTTTTGCTTGCCTCAATAGTCTTAGGTTCATGATCTCCCTGCCTCAGCCTCCTGACTGTTGAGAATATTGCTGTGGGCCACCATATCCAAGTCTATACCTAAATTTCCTTTCAATGATTTATCAGTTCTACTTTTCTGGATATATTAGCATCATCTGAATACTTTTGTTACTGTTACAATTATCCAGTGAAACTTTGTTTTTGAAGAGTATAAGGTCATAATTTTTTCATTAACTTATACAAAGGGTAGTGTTTTATATCAGTTTACGTTACAAAATTCTCTGAAACTTTGAGTATGGCTCAGTGGTAGAAAACTTGCCTGGCATGTACGGTTCCTACGCATTCATGTTACGTGTCAGCCATTTGCTCTCAGCTACTGGTATTCTGTGACCATTTACTTAACTCTGTGCACACGAGTGTTCTGCCTGCATATATGTAAGTACACCATGTATGTGCACAGTGCCTGTGGAGGTCAGAAGAGAAGGTCAGATCCCTTGGGACTGGAGTTATGGACAGCTGTGAGTGACAGTGCAGGTGCTAGGAACTGAACCCAGGACCTACAAGTACAAGTGCTCTTAACTACTGAGCCTTCTCTTTAACCCTTCTGCAAATTATTTTTGAAGCTGTAACATTTTGCTGACAAATTTATTTTTCAACTTTTGAAATACTTTTCTCCTAAATTAAAATGTATACCAAGTCTGATAATCTTGAGAAGAATTTTTTTCTTTTAACTATTTCTAGAGTCTGAGGGTTATACCCCAAAGCCATTTTTATTCTTACATCTCTTTGTTTGTTTTGGTTTTTGAGACAGTTTCTTTGTGTAGCCCTGGCTGTCCTAGAACTCGCTCTGTAGACCAGGCTGGCTTCAAACTCAGAGATTCTCCTGCCTCTGCCTCCTGAGGATTAAAGGTGTGTACTACCACCACTCTGCTGGTTTTTTTTTAATTCTCACATGTTTATTACTATGTAAAGAACTTAAAATTTCAGTTCAAAAACCAGAAGGGACTGGAGATATGGCTCAGAGGTTAAAAGTACCTGCTGCTCTTCCAGAGGACCCAAGTTTGGTTCCTAGCACCCATATGAAGTATCTCACAACTGTAACTCCAGCTTCAGAGGTCTGGCACCCCTATGGTCTCTGTGGGCATCTGTACATACCCACATGCACACACACACACTCACTCTTAAAAATAATAAGAATAGCCTGGCGGTGGTAGCTCACACCTTTAATCCCAGAACTCGGGAGAGCAGATCTTTGTGAGCTCATGGTCAGCCTGGTTTACAGAATGAGTTCCAGGACAGCCAGATCTGTTACACAGAGAAATGCTGTTTCAAAAAACCAAAATAAATAAATAAATAAATGAATAAAATATATCTATAAGAGCTAGAGAAAGGGCTCAGTGGTTAAGAGCAATGGCAGCTCTTCTAAAGGACCCAGGTTAGATTCCCATCACCCACATGGTAGACCACAGCCATCTGAAATTCCAGTTCCAGGGGATCCAATGCCCTTTCTGGCCTTCACAAGTACTATACACACAGTGGCCAGAAATATATGTGGCAAAGCACCAGATAAATAAATAAATGAAGAATTTAAGGCATGTCAGTTTTGGTATTTTTCTTTAGATGAGCAGTTCTCAAGTTGTAGATTGCCACTCCTTCTTTGTAGGTCAAATGACCCTTTCACAGGGACACCTAAGACCACTGGAAAACCCAAGCATTTACATTATGATCTATAACAGTAGCAAAATTAGTCATGAAGCAGCAATGAAATAGTTTTATGGTTGGGGGTCACCGCAGCATGAGGAGCTGTGTTAAAGGGTCACAGCATTAGGAAGGTTGAGAAACCACTGCTCTAGATCTTTTTATTTTTAATTCTGTATGTGTTTTTGTGTATCTGCATGCAGTACCCACAGGAGCCACAAGGGGCATCAGATTCCCCTAGAGCTGGAGTTGCCTGTGGTTGGGAGCCACCCAAAGAGGGTACTGGGAACTGTCCTCCCGTCTCTGTGAGAGCAGTCTGTGCTCCTAACTGTTGACCCTTCTCTCTAGACCCTCAGCCCTTAACAACCTGATACTGCCTTGTTCAGAGAATCTCTTCACACACTTGTAGTTTTCCCTTTTTGTTGTTTTTATTTTATAGATTAAAAATGTGTTACATGTATTTAGTGTATGCTATATGCATACATGTCGTGGCACATGTGGGAATCAGTCTTTCTCCTGTCATGTGTGTTCTGGGGGTAGAGCACTACTCCTCAGGCTTGTGCCTTTATCCACTGAGCCATCTGTACTTGCAATACAGATTTTTAGTATATGTTTTTTTGCAGTTTTTATAAATTGTGTTTGTGATAGTTTCTTCCCAATTTGACACAGCTAGAGTTGTATGGGGAAAAGAACCTTAACTGAGAAAATCAGATTGCCTGTAGACAAGTCCGTGGGGCATTATTGGTTAAAAATGGATGTGGGTAGGCCAAGCCTACAGACCACGTCTGGGCAGGTGGCCGCGTTGTACAAGAAAACAGGCCGAGTGCATACAAGGAGTAAGCCTTATTGACTTGCGGTGTCCCCACGGCCTCGGCACCAGTGCCGGCCTGACCCCCCTGCATGAGGAAATAACGTCCTTCATCCCCAGTGCCGGCCTGACCCCCCTGCATGAGGAAATAACGTCCCTCATCCCCAGATAGCTTTGGTCAGTGTCTCATCACTGCAATAGGAACCCGGCTAAGACAGTGCTTTCACTTTTGTGTGTTTAATCCTTGCTTGGATGGTAGAACTGAATACCTGAGGAAATTCCTGGAAGGCTCCCATGGTTTCTTGATTTCTTTCAGAAGAACCACCAATCACAATCAAGGGCCTGAAATAGTAATTTTTCAAAAAGATAGTCACAAATGAGAATATATAAAACATTCAGCAGTGTCCAATACATCATAAACAATTGTGAGCAACTAAGACAGACTAGATGAGAAAACTACATCTTCCTTAAAAAGATGGAGGTTAAAAGAATTTAAGATGTAGCTGTCCTCAAAATCAAAAAGATGGAACATGTTAGTAAATGCTTTTCTTACACGAGCTTCACCCCTTCTAGATGTTAATGCTACGTTTGCAGGTGGAGTGACAGAAAATCAATTTTATGGAGAGAAGGCATTTACATTTTCCTAAGTAAACCTATTTGGAAATGGCAAAATGAGTAATAGTTCTCAATTTTTATTTCTCAAGACTAAACAAAAATACATCAAACTTTTAAAGTTTTTCTTTTTTAAGGTTTATTTATAGGTTGAGGTAATGCATGCCTTTAATCCCAGCACTCGGGAGGCAGAGGCAGGTGGATCTCTGTAAGTTCCAAGCAAGCCTGGTCTACAAAGCAAATTAGTTCCAGGACAGCCAGGGCTACACAGAGAAACCCTGTCTTGAAAAACTAAATAATAATAATAATAATTCATGACTAGCCTGACTTACATAACATAGTGAGGTCTTAGGTTCAGTAATTAACAAATTTAAAAAACAGTTCTTTATTTAGAACTACATGCATGCTCACATACACAAACATAAATACATACATACACAGAATGAAACTCTAAAATGTTAACTGTTTCTTCCTCACATTGCGTATATTTAAAGGCTACAACATTACACTTTGATATCCATAGTGAACTGAGGCTATGGTCAAGCAACTTAACATTCATCATGTCACAGTTTTTTAATATGTCATAAAAGGACCCAGTCTACTCTTGCAGCAAATTTCCAACATTCAGTACAACGTTGCTAACTCTTGGCGTCAGACTGCACACTGAACATCCGACTTTGCACCCTTGACCCCCTCCTCCCGATCTCCAGCCCACTTCCCAGTTAATGACCTTCCACCCTTATGCAAAGACATATTAAAAATGTTTTCAGCAAGAATGATTTAATTACCAACAGTTCATGTTTGCATTTGCCATGCCACCCAAGGCGTGGATGAGACCTGGGCCGGAAACGACAAGGCATACTCCTGGTCTGGAAGTAAAGCAGAGCTTATCAACAGCAGATCAAACTAATAACTGAAAAGAAGAGGTGCAGTCTATCTTAGCGTGGAACATACCAACTACCAGGTAATTAGTATTATGTTAGGGTTTCCATGGAAACGTCTTGGTGGTCAGAGGAAAGACAGGTAGGCCTTTAATATAATTGACAATCAATTGCTAGAATATCTTAATTATGAAAGAGTAACATCAAGTTTCTTTTAATATATATATAACTATTACTTGTATTTTATTTAATTATTTGTATTTTACTAACCTCTTCATATTTTTTCCAGTCATACTTGGATTAAAACAAGTTGACTGATTACAGAAGTAAATTTCTGACAGTCCCATATAGTGTATGTACATTATTTTTTTTTAATTTTCTAACAAATAAATATAACATACTAAAATCTCTGTGAGGACATGGTTTTCCTCTACATCTTTCTGAATGCTTTCTTTTGACATACTTCCTGAGCCTAAACCATTCAATAATATATAATTTAATTTACTGCTTTACATTTCAAATTTTAGAATCTTTTAGACTTAAAATAACACTAACAGTATCTAGAACAGTACCATTCCTAGAATGTTCTACAGTAGTCGTCATACTCCCTGTGCAATCTGACGTGATATGGACTCCACAAGGTCACTCAACACTTACAAATGTGGCCACTACAAACGGCGGGGGGGGGGGGGGGTCTCTACTTAGCATATTACTTATTTCTAATTAAATGTAAATACCTATACATGGATAATGCTACAATACTAGGGTGTTCAAAATAAAAATTTCAAATGAAACTTTTAGCTTGTTAAAATAATCATAATTCAAGAATCAATTAAGGCACCAGTGACTGTAATTTCAATGCTTTTCAGGGTCAACAAAAAGATTAACACACTGTTTACATGTAAATAAAGCAACAGAGTGGTTCACAGGCTGTTTCAGATGGCCTGGTTTTCTTCAGGCTCAAATTCAGAAGGTTCCCATTAAAAAGAAAGGATTGTGAGAGTTTGCTTGTTTTTATTTCTTAGAATTTAATTACTACTTCACTTTTAGAAATTAAAAAAAACTTACTAAAGCTTTTATGTAAGTGCCAAAAATGTATGGTAGAAATTTTATCAGAGGCCCAAATTCTACCTAAAAAAAAAAAAATCAGTGAATGTAGAAAAAAAGTAGACTATATGCAAAAAACCTTAATGGTTGTAGAATTACAGTAATCTTATACAGTCTACGTTTTCTAGAAAGGTTATTTTTAAGAGGCATTACTTTTAGTAAAAATGAGGGTAACTGGCTAACATAAATAGACAGGAATATGTTCTAGCAACCTCATTTTGGAACGAAGCCTTTTATATAAAGTGACCTAAGGAAGTTAGAGCTCTTATTTCTTATTAATACTATCTTCTACAATCTTTCCAAGGCTACTACGCTTTCAGTTGACATTTATATTTCTACCCCAAACTTCCAATGTACTCAAATGAAGTGGACTTTAATTTACCTGCCCGTTAGGTATCCAACTGCAGAGGCAGCGTAACAAGCCTACAGAGAAAGGACAGGGACTGAATGAAACATGCATACGTGCTATACATACATGAACATCTATTAATAAAAAATGAGAATTTGAGCTGGTCATAGTGGTGCTTGCCTTAAATCCCAGCATTCACTTATTTGAGGCCAGCCTGGTCTACAAAGCGAGTTCCTGGACAGCCAGGACTACACAGAGAAACCCTGTCTCAAAAACAAAACAAAACAAAAACAGATGAGGATTTATATATTAAAGGAAAGGAAGAACTGGAACACTACTTGTTTTTTATGAGATGTGATAGCCATAAATTTCAAGGAATGGACTAAGAATCTAGGTATCTAAATTTTAGTTTTTTGGGGAAAGTTTCATTACTGCTATTCATAGTATCATCTTACAACTGCTTAAGTATCTTTAGAATCAAAAGGAATGGGGGGGCTGGAGAGATAGCTTGGTGGTTAAGAACACTGGTTGCTTTTCCAGAGGTCCTGAGTTCAATTCCCAGCACCCACATGGTGGCTCACAACCATCTGTAATGAGATCTGGTGCCCTCTTCTGGCCTGCAGGTGTACATGCAGAACATTGTATACATAATAAATAAATAAATCTTAAAAAAAAAAAGGATCAGAAGGGAATGTCCTCTTTCTTCTTATCAGTCATTTATGTCTGTCACTCTACCTATACAGGGTTAGTTGATTTGTTCAGAGCCTGGTCTCATTACCTCAGGCTAGTCTTGCTAGCCTTGAATTTGCTATTAGCCCATGGTGATTAGCTTTCCAAGTCCTGGGGTTTTAAAGCTTTTAGTTTTTCTATGCTGTCTCCTACATCACTAATTTCTGCTTATGCATTAATTATTTAGATTCTTCCCTTGAATTTGATTTGATTTTCCTGTCCTAGAGTCTTGAAAAATAAGCTGACAGAATCTGTTTTAAATCTTTACTAACAGATTCACTTTCAACTATTTTGCCTAAAACTATCTTAGCTATATATTATGAAATATATTTGACATTGATCTTTTCATTATCATTGATTAAAAATATTTTGTATTTTCTACTGTGATTTCTTCAACCCACTTGCAAATTAGGGTCTGTATTTAGGTCTGTATTCCATTCCTCACATTGGTAATCTGTGCTTTCTCTTTTATTCCTGATCAATTTGGTTTGGAGTTTTCAGATAAATATAGGAGCCAGTGAGAGTGTTGTTTCTTTTTTCTTTCTTTTTAATTTATTTAACTTTATTTTATGTGCTTTCATGCGAAGGTGTCAGATCCCTAGAGCTGGAGTTAAAGATCACTGTGCACTTCCATGTGGTTGCTGGGAATTGAACTCGGGTCCTCTGGACGAGCAGCCAGTGCTCTTAACCACTGAGCCATCTCTCTAGCCCCATGTTACTGTATTGTAAATGTGGTTTTTTTTTGGGGGGGGGAGAGGGCTGGAGAGATGCCTCATTGGTCAAGAGCACTGACTGTTCTTCCAGAAGTCCTGAGTTCAATTCCCAACAACCACATGGTCACTCAAAACCATCTGTAGCGGGCTATGATGTCATCTTCTGGCATAAAGTCAGACATACAGATAGAGCACTCATACATAAAATAAATAAATGAATCTTAGAAAAATAATAAGACATTTTAAAAATAAATGATTTTTCAGTTACCCTTCTGTTACTTCCACATGGTCTGGTTACACATTATTTACTGTATGTTTTCGATTCTTAGCAAGCAATCTGTTGAAAATTTCCTTAAGGCCAACATGGTTTTTGTCTGTTTGGTTTTGAGATGAGATCTCACCCTGTAGCCTAGGCTGACCTTGAATGTAAGGAAGCCTCATAAGCCTTGTGAGCTACAGGGTACAGCTGGGAGTCACTACGCCAGGCCACTTTTCACTGAACTGTCTTCCATCCAGCTTATAAGGAAGATAGGAAACACCAAGTTAAATCAAATACAAGATGCCCAGGAAAAATGCTGAGTGCATTTAAAAATTATTCTTTGTCTAGGACATTATAGTATTACTTAATCTTTTGTTTTTCTTTTGGTTCTTCAAGACAGGGTTTCCTGGCTGTCCTGGAACTAGCTCTGTACACCAGGCTGGCCTTAAGCTCCCGAGTGCTAGGATTAAAGGTGGGCACTACCACACTGGTCTACTACTCATAGTTCTTAAGACTGGAAAGTCTGGAATCAAAGTGTTCTGACTCTGATCCCAGTTCCCCTCCATTCTGCTGTGGTTTTGACAAATGACTTGGGACCCTGGCTTCCTCATCTACAAAATGAATGTAATCCGGAACACTGCTAGCAGAATGAATCAGGGATCTCAGCCATGTAAAGTACTTAGGATACAGCTAATTTGCTGACAATCTGCCTATTTTCTGGTCACATGATCAGAGGAATGATAATCAAACGGTACCCAGGTGTACCTTTCGTTTTAGCGCAAACATGCTCTTATATCCTGAGCCTTCTTGTAGGCTCCTTTTGAACAAACATGCTCTTGTATCCTGAGCCTTCTCGTACGCTCCTTTTGAACAACTCCATTATTAAACACACCACCTTCCCTTCTAGGTTGTTTCTCCTCTCTCTTCTCAGCCTCAGGCAGTAGCCTTATCATTTAGTCATCTGAGTCCCTAACCTAGCAATCACCTTCAGCAGAGCTAGCTTTTTCCTCCTCTTCAAGATAGCTCTGGCATCATCTTCTGTGGGACGCTTTCTCGGAAGATTATATTTGTTTATTTAATTCTGTTGTTGTTTACTAGGGAAATCCAGGGCACCGGGCATGTTAGGCAAGTACTCCTACCACTGAAAGATAACCCAGTCTCAGTTGACTGGGCTGGCTGCAGACTTGAGATCTTTTTTTTCGCTTGAGTAGATACAGAGACTACAGTTGTGATTTTCCATACGTATCCTTTGGCCTACCTATCCACTCTCACGGCTTGCCTTGACTTTAGGCTGTATTGATGCTGCATGAACAAACATTTCTTCCATGAGCAAGCTTCCCTGTCCTATCAGAGAAGCAGTCACATCCTCCACTGCACTGTCTCTTGCATGTATTTCTTCCGTGAGGACCAGCGTTCTAGATTGTCTTTTTTGTGTCTTGCCCTCACTTTTCCCAACTGACAAACGTGGAGATTAAGAACAAACTTCTTTTCTTCTTTACACTCCTTCTTCCACTGCTTATGCAGCACACACCAAGCATATAATAGCACAGACTCAGCACATCTAACGTAAGAAAAGGAGAGCAGTGTACACGGCCTTTAGAGACACAGCCAAATGTAGATCAACAGCTATACTTCCCCATGCAGGTAAAAGGACAGAAAGCTGCTCCAGGTAAGAAAACTGAGAGGTAAGTGTACAGAGCTCAGTGGCAGGGTTTAGTATGCACAATTCCCAGCACCGAAAAAAAAAAGGTGTATGTGGGGGCGTGGAGGAGTGTAAGCAACACAAATTCAATACCTACCAGCTTTCAGATTAAAAACACTGCCTACACATTCCAAACCTTGTTGATAAATACCTTTCAACTGGTAAATAACATGGTAAGCGTCAGTATTACACAAAGGCCTCCATCACACCAGCACTGCGTGGGTATGAAAAATGAACCACAACTCCTGCTGCCCTGGGGCTCACATCTGCTGTGTGTGTGTGTGTGTGTGTGTGTGTGTGTGTGTGTGTGTGTGTGTGTGTGTGTTCAGAGCACATCGTGACTAAGTTAACTCCTTCCTTCTTCCATGTAGGTCCTGGAGACTGACCTCAGGTTATCAGCACCCCTGAACCACCACCTCTGCACCGGATTCTTGCCATTCTTAAGCCGGTATGGCTGAGAGGGTAAGACTGGGGACTGGGTGGTCAGAGGAAATGCTGTGAGCGGGATCAAAAAGTGCAAGTGCGTGCTTTGCTTTTTCGGATTCCAGATGCAACCCGAGTTCCAGTACCTGGTCTTCACTCATTCACCTCACAGGTGCTCTCACGGACAGGAACCACCCGAGGTACTGACAGGACAGCACAGCTGCCCTGCTGGGACTTCCAGCCCCACAGAGAAGAAAGCCCATCCTTCCAAACCTGACCTTCGGACAAGGCCGGGCTCACTAGGCTAACTGTAGGAGCACCGATCCTAACTCCACAATATCCGAGTTCAGATGCCGGGACGCAGTGACTCACGCCGGGCAAGTGTTGACTTAGTGTGCTGCCAAGCGGGAAATAGGAGTGACGGGAGGCTGCGTCCGCACTCACCGCTTGCTCGTTCCGCATCCCGATGAACCTGATGCCCAGCTCCTGCGCGGCAAGGGCGATGTCGGTCACGGGGATGCCTACGACGCCGAACATGTACTTCACATTCTGGGGACAGGGGGTGGAAACAGAGGAATGAACGCCGGCCAGCAGGAGGGTGGGCTACCCAGTCTCCCCGTCCTTCCCGGGGGTCCAAAGGAGGGACCGCCGTGGTCACGCCCTCCCCCGCCGCTCCCGCTGAGCCTTCCGCTCCCTAGCGCCCGCCGTACTTGCGTCTTCAGGGCCTGGGCGATGACTTCAGCACCAGACACCTGCCCCCCGCTACCGCCGCCACCCGGCATCTTCTCCAGCGCGCTGCGGCGGCCTCACAAGCTCCTGGGCCGGCCGGTCGCCGTGGGAGACACCCGCTGACGGACAGGAGCGCAGCCAACCGCTTTTAGCGAAGGGGAGAGGGGCGGGGCGGGGCGGAGCCCGTCCTCCGGGCGGCGGCGCCGTGGACACGCCCACTCTCCCCGGTGACTTTCCCCGGGCCCGCGGTCGGCTGAGGCGGGACGAACCCGAGGCCGCGGCCTGCGCCGAGCAGGTGAGACGCCCAGCTCCTGGGGAGAAGGGGGGGCTCGCCATGGCTTCCGTCTCCGCTCGGCCCCTCCTGCTTCAGGCCCGCGTCGGCCGGCGGGCGGGGTGGCACATGCGCACTTCCAGAGGCCAGGGGGAGGGGCGTGGCCCCGGCGCGCGTCCCCGCCCCCCCCCGCCGGGGGTTCTTGCTGGTGGGGCGAGCCGCGCTAAGGCTGCTGAGACCCTAGTGGCTTGGGGCGGGTTTCAAGTCGAGCGGGACGGCCCGTGGGTCGTGTTGTCACTCTTCGGCGCCCTCTGGTTTGGTAGCTTTGTGGTTTTCCACTCCACAGAACGTGCACGTTACTTAAGTCTGGGGGCAAAGGTCTGCGCTTTGCCACAGAGGACACCAAGCTTGCTTGTTGAGAGAGAAAGTTGTCCAGAGCATTCTTCACACCGCGGCTGCCCCTGACCTCCGCCCTGGTTTTTAATTTATGTTTGTTCCAGTTGAATATCAATAAGGTCTGTTAGAGCCATAAGTTAACAATTAAGTGTATGATTGCGTAGCTTTTACCGAAGTAACAATGCTGGTTGCTTCCTAGTTCAAAGCTAAGCCTGCTTGACGCTGGCAGCACGTGCTGTAGAGACAACAGTCTTTTTTTTTTTTTTTTTTAAGGATCAGTTTTCACCGGCCATGGTTTGCCATTTCGCAAACAGAAGTCGCTGAGCTGGTTCTCGTGTTCACCTTGCAGTTCACGGGCTTCCCATGCCCGTCGCGATTCAGAGGTGATGTGAACCCTAACCACAAGGCCTTTAAATCCCAGCGCTTGGGAATCTCTGAGTTCGAAGCCAGCTAGTTTACCTAGTGTGTTCCACGACAGCCGGGACTATGTAGAGAGACCCTGTCTCAAGAAACAAACAGGAAGGAGAGAGAGAGAGAGAGAGAGAGAGAGAGAGAGAGAGAGAGAGAGAGAGAGAGAGAGAGAGAGAGAGAGAGAGAGAGAGAGAGAGAGAGAGAGACAGAGAGAGAGAGACAGAGAGAGAGAGACAGAGAGAGAGACAGAGACAGAGAGAGACAGAGAGAGACAGAGAGAGAGAGAGAGAGAATTGGCATTGCTTTTACATTCGCTTATTACTCAAAGGAAGAATAAAAAGGGCTAGGGATTGAACCTAAGACCTTGTGCATATCAAACAAGTGTTCTACCGCTGACCTATATCCCCAGCCCTAAAATTTAACTTTCTTAAAAACCCAGAAGGCTAGGGGGCTGGAGAGATGGTTCAGTGGTTGAGAGCACTGGCTGCTCCTCCAGAGGACCTGAGTTTGATTCCCAGCACCCACATGGTGTCTCACAGCCATCTGTAACTCTAGTTTCAGGGAAACCGATGTCCTCCTCCGGCCTCTGAGGGCACCTGGCACACACATTGTGCAATAGACATGCAGGCAGGCAAAACACATGAAGTAATATAAAAAAAAAAAAAAAAAGACGAGGCAATGTTGACAACAAGCTTTCCAAAGGTCAGATCCAATCATCAGAGTCTAAATAGTGATTATTAGGGGAATCTAGATCTGAGATTATGAGGGGCGTCTTGACAACTTTCTTCCAAGTAGCTAAAGATAATACCTAGGTAACTGTGTGATTTGCTTAGAGCTTTAACCAGGGTGTCAGTAGGCATGCCTGTAATACCTGTACTCAGGGGCTGAGGCAGGAGGATTACAAGCCAAAGGCCAGCCTGGGCTGCAGAGTGACCCTGACTCAAAAATAAATGATTTTAAAAAAGAGAGTTGTAACATTATGTCCAGAGATTAACTTTCAGAAGATGGCAGCTTCTATAAACAGTAATTCCATGGCCCCCAGATTGTGATTTTTTTAATGTTCACAAGAAAATTAGGAATCTAAGCACAACCCTAGCTGAACTTGTGAAAAACAGACCATGCTTTGCTAAAATGTAGTGCTCAGTTGTTAAACAAGGAATGAGTCAGGTTTATTTGTTATTCTGACTTCATTTTGTTGTGACAGACACCATGCATGTTGGGCGAGGAAGGTTTATCTTATCTTACTCTTCCAAGTCATAGTCCACTTTTGAAGAAGGTTGTCAGGGTAGGAACGCAAGACAGGAGCCATGGAGGAACCTCCTTGCCGGCTCATTCTCTGACTTACTCCCAGCCTGGTGCTTAAGTAGCTTTTTTGTACAGCCTGGGACCACCTGCCTTGTAAGCTAGGCCCTCCTGCATTGATTAATACTCATCTTGATTCACAAAGGAATGCTCAGAGACTGAGTTACTTTATAGAGACTCATTTTTCTGTTTCAAGTTGACAATCAGTGCTAACTAGGAAATTTGTGACGGATTGTAGAATGGCTAAAATCAAACTGGCTCACAATAGGCGACAAAGGAAATAGTGTGTCTGTTCTTTTCTGGCGTCAGGGTTAAACTCAGGGTCTTGTGTGTGCTAGGCAGCTACTACACCTGTTGGGGCTGGGAGTCGAGCAAATACTGAATCAAGGCCACCAAAGTTAGACGAGCGGAAGCGACTTTATTCCATCTCCGTGGTTACCAGAACTTCTAAGTAGTTAGGGCCACAGGCAGTTTGGGATCTGCACTGTGACCCAGAACAGGGAGCAGCTGGGGTCCTTTTTAAAGCAACAGCCCTAAGTGCAGAGAGGGGTCAGGGGTGATACAAGAAAATTTGAGGTTAAGTCCTGGGCGATGGTACATTCTGGGAATTTACAACTTGTGATACCATTTTATAATTAGCAGTACAATTTGTGATAACAAGGTATTTGTACAAGCTTAAAGGGGGGTTGTGGAAGCTTGTTTACACAAGTCTGTGGCTATCTTAACACAATTGGGAGCTTGTCTTAATTTTTAACCAACTGTTCTCCCTGTGGCTGACTACAGGGCAAGGGTCAAGCAATGGAAGAAGCTTGGTAGGACTCACGTTCAGGCCTACTCCAGGCCCCTCATGTCACTAAGCCCCGCTTCCACTTTTTTATGTTGAGACCAGGGTTTACCAAGTCATCCAGGTAGGCCTTGAACTTTGCTTCTTCTTGGCTCAGCCTTCTGAGTAGCTGAGAGTATAAAGCTCTGCAAGTAAAAGGCCGGGAACAAAAATAAGAAGGAAATCTACATAAAGGGCTATTTTTAAAAACAACCCTTAAACTATACAGCAGGAAATGTGCTGTAGGAAACATGTCAACAGAGACAGAGCAGGCATAAAATAATGTAATAAAATGGTTGGTCGAGTGAAACAGGTTAAGTGGATTTTGTCTGCTTCTCATTAAATTTATGATCTGTGTAGTAGCAAAGTTTAGAGGTAGGCTTGAAGAAGAAAAAAACAATGGAAAACAGCGTTATATTCTGGAGCTATCAGGGACAGCTCAGTAATAACTCAGTAGTAAAAGCTGCTGGTCCCTGTTTTGTTGAAAGGCACTGAAACGTTGCCCTGGTACCCTCTGACCTAGAGAGCGCTGATTCCCGACAAGGCCTGGGCTTTGCTTACCAGTGTACTGCAGCTGCAACCTAGAACTGAAGCAGGGAGCAGTATGGAAAGGAAACAGAAAGAAGGGTTTCCTGTTTTATCCATCATGGGTTTGTTTCCGTTTTCCTTTTCAAGTAAATCTGAAAGAGTTTAGCATGAGCAACAACCACCACAGTGACATGTGTGCTATGAAGACACATGGCTTAGCAACACAGTGCTTCTCCTTGGGACAAAACTGCAAAGTTCCCAGGGTGTAGGGTTGAACTGGAGCGTATGTCATTGATTATGTTAATTAAGTCATAGGGGAAAACTTAGTTAAGCCCATTACCTGGTTTCTTCATCATAACCTTTGAGCTCCTTCTCGGGGCTTATGAACAACGTATTGTTTTCTTACAGTTAATATTTGTGATGTCTTTCACACACATGAAAGGATCAGAAAGAAGTCTCTACATACCCGTAGACCAGCTTCTAGCTCAGTAAACACACACAGAGGGCCTCCTGTGTGGCCCTCCCTGGATGCGTCTCTTTTCCCACTCTGTAGAGGGAGCCATTACTTTGCACTTAATGTCTATGGTGTCTTTGTTACCCATTTTGAAAAGCGGCTTCATCCATTTGCTGTTGTGAAGGAGTACACTGGACTAGGCGTCATCTATGTGCTCTGTGGTGCTGGGGAGGGGGCACTTGTCCTGCTCCGTCCCTGTCCTTCCCCTGCTTCTTACTTTTAGTTAGGGCCGTGAGTGGCCTAGCCTGGCCTTGAACTCACTCTGTAGCCCAGGCAGGCCTTGAACTGGTGAGCCTTTTTGCTTCAGCTTCCCAAACAGCTGGGGATTATGGAGTCTGCTTTACCAATCCTGGACACTGCCCAGTGGTTATAAAGACACTTAGTTTTATCCACCGTTTAGCAGCTCAGAAGTCTGGGAGCCCATGGCCTGCGTCTGTTTTTGGTGAGGGTCTCAGAGTAGAAAGACAAGCAGGACTGTGAGGAAGAGGGTTTGGAAGGGCAAACCAGAGGTGACTAACCCATTCCTAAACAGCTCATGAGGGTGAATGACAGACAGCTTCCACTCGACCCCACCGTCCAGCATGGCTGTGTTGAGGTGATAACATTTAGGAGACCACAGGCTAACAGAGTAGACATTTAGGTTGCTTGGTTTCTTGGGGTATGAATAGTGTACTCTGTGAAGATTTTTGTGTGTTTACCCCCATGTGAGAGTTTCTGTGTATAATACTGGTGTGGGGTATTACCACTTTTATCAGAAATTGCCAAATGGTTCTCCAAAGTCACTGCAAGAACTTACATTCATACCATCATTGTGTGAGAACTGCCCTTTTTCTCCATCTATTGGAAACTTACTGTCTATCCTGGCATGATAGTACACATCTAATTCTGACCCGTGGGAGACAGAGCAAAGGGATGAGTTCAAGTTCATCCTCAGCCACATCATGAGTTCAAGGCTAGACTGAGCTACATGGTGTCCCGTCTCAAAATAAATAAATGAGTGAGTGAGTAAATAAAGCTAAAGACATTACAATTGAGGAGGGCTAGTTAGGA